CTCTCTCTCTCTCTCTCTCTCTCTCTCTCTCTTTTCCTTTTTCGCCTCTCCCTTTTTTTCCAGCCAAGTCTTTGAGTCGCCACTACTCTCCACGCCATTATCACCGGCTTTTTGGTCGCCTTCGGAGCTCGATCCGTATAATGCCAACGCTTTTACCTCTCTTTACGACCTACGAAACGAGCCGGAAATGTCGTAGCCGCGGTTTGTCGTCCCCTTTTATTCTGGCTGTGCTTTACTGCGCGGCGCAATGTCTCCTTTGATCGCGGTCGCTCCCTGGATCTCGCGTTTTTCCTTCACTTTTGCTAGATTAAACTGTCGAACTGTTGCTTCGAAAGTCGGCCGTTTACTCCGTGACGATTCGGTTGATTCCCTTTCTTTGATTCCACCAGCAATCCACCTGTTTCCACGGGATGCAGCTCTTCGAAACGCGGGCCCGCGTGTTTCACGGAGAGAACAGTTGTTCTTTGACCTCCGTTCCGCGACGGAGGAAACTGTATAGCATGTCGAATCAGCAAGTATAATGAAAGCTGGGCAACTGATGGTAAACTTTATCGATATAGGTGTAGCTACAGTTCTAGTAAATTTGAGGAGAAAATCGAGCGATCTCGAGTGATAGAAGATACACGGGTATATCGTATTCGCATACTTTACACATTTCTTTTCTTTCTTTCTTTCTTTTCTCTTTCGCTTGCGCTTACGCTCCGAAACTGCATAACCTGGTTACACACGCTAAAGCCTAATAATCAGCTTGATATACCGCCGCTGAGGCGTTAACCTGCGCAAGACTGTGACCGTATTTATAGTTATTGTAAGCCCGTACCGCGCCGTAGAATCATAATTCTCTTTTAATTAAATCGTTAAACTTCGCTCCGGCGCGCTCCTTCTGGCAATTCGAATTTCCTTGGCAGCCGATGATTCGGTAATGATTAGACGATACAGAGAAAACGAGTTGGAGAATGTGTTCATTCACTGTAACGCTTGCGTTCAAGAGAGAGGAGGAAAAAAAAAAAAAGAAAAGCAAAACTGGAGAAAGAGAAATCCGATTTTTCGAGCCGTAACGGATCAACGAGGACGAATCTTTTTTCGTACATAGGCGATTCAAATTTATTCGAGCGCCTGGAGGCGACGGTGAAAAACACATCAGAGCCGCGCACAGACAGAACGTGTCTTATCGATCCGTTCTATCGCGATGGTCATAACAAATTCATGGAGTAAAATACTCGACGATGCCGAGGAAGAGACAAAAGTACTTACACGACCCGTGGTGCGAGGACGTGGACACTGATTTCGACTGTTATCGTTAATCGATAAGCGTATTAAAATTACCGGGGAAATATATCGACGACCAGAGATTTCTCGTTAAATCCCCGTTCCTGATTGAGATACAACCGTGATTAAAGGCGACCGGTATCGATAACGTTTGATCGATCACGTCTGAATCGGATCGTAAAAAAAGCGTAAAACTCTCCGTGGTAGCCTCGCCTGAACATAAATATCCTTACCTCGATGCGAGAGCAATGATTCATCCACACGTCCGAATTGTTTTCGCACGTTGATGTTCGCGACGACGAATTTTACCCGACAAATTATTTCGCGACTCTTTAGAAATTCGTTTCTACGTTTCTCTGAAATATCACACCCATAGATTACCATTTTCCATTTTTAGCGCGTTCTTCTTCCGAAACGATTATACGACTCCACGACTAACGAAAAAAAAAAAAAGGAAAGCTCTCTACGCTGTTATTATCGGCCACGTATCATCCGAGAATATCTGTCGAAGATAAAAATATACTGGCAGGCCAGTAGCCAGTAGAATGGCGACAGCCGTACATACGATGAAACAATGTCCTTTCCAGCTATAAATATGAAAACTCGCTATAACCGCGCCGCCTTCGTATCGTACTTATGGAAACTCGCGGCGTATTTTCGCTCGACTTTACGGCGGCCTGTATAGTTTCGCGCGACTATATTTTTACTTTTCTTTCTTTTCTCTCTCCCTCTGCTCCCTTACTGCCTAAAAATAAACAGGGGGTAGTAATCTAGAACGTGCATAGGCGAAACAATATTGCGAAACGAACACACGGAGAAAGCAGAAACCGCCGCCGCTATTTATAAAGCGTGTAATCTATGCGCGATATCTATCGCGTGGCTAATACAAATCGGCGAAATATTAAACGATCGCAAACACGACTGGTCACGTGTTTCCCCGAGTACGGCGAGCAGCCAGCATGTAATTACTACATCGTTAAAGCTTCGGTTACCGTTGTTGCGCCGATAATTAATTCCCGCCGTTACGTTGAATAATTCGCGCGATATGCGAGGGCCGCGCGTCGGAACTCGACGAGTGAAAGTGGCTGCTGCGCGTACGCGAGATATACGAGACCGAACGTACGCGAGCGAGCAGCAAGAATTTACGCGAAATTATCTCGAATCGTCCGGTTAATCGACTTGCTCGATTAGAAGCATTTCGACCCAGCGACTCGTCCTTATTGATCTTCATTTGCTCGGCGAGGCTGAATAGAAATAAAAACAAAAGGGTAGACAGTATACTCGTAATAAACAATGGATCGAAAAATTAATAGTTTCAAAGTTACAAACTCTTCGCTTATATGGTGGTTCCTTTTATAATTTCTTCCTTTAATTACTTCGTACTCCTTCAAGGATTCCCGCCTGTGTTCCAACTTTTTCACAAGCATTTCAAAACTGGAAAAATCGTTCACAACTTTGGTACTAATTTTTATTTCTATTTTTCCACGCACGTTTATCTGGACTCTGTATCACGTTTCGATGAGGAAAAGTGATGTTTCAAGGGAGGACGGACAAAACAGAGGATCAACCGGGAAACAAGCGTGTTGCGTGCTGGTACACGCCGAATGCAACACAGGATAAACACGGTTCGTTACTACAGCATTCATTACGTGCCTTCTGAAACGGCCAGACATTCGCTGGGTGGGCTTTCCGCCGTTGATGCAGGGTGGAACAAGGTCGCATTCGGACAACTCTTACTTTGGGCTTCTTGAATAAATGAACAACGCGATGCGTAACAAGCCCGGCAATCGTACAAAGACGTGAAAAACGCTTTTAAAAAACGCTTTTCACAGGGACGTAACGTACGCTCGAGTATCGAATAAATCATTTTCTCCTTCTATGGAACATCGTGACAGAATTCAGGGATGGGGGGAGGGAGGGGTGTGCAGACGTGAACTGTGTTTAAAGTTCGTTGTTAGCTCAAAGCTAACGGTTGTATATGCTACAACGGGAAATTCGTGAAGTTGCTCGGTAAAGTAAGCCTTATTTCGTTTCATTTGCAAATGCTATTTGCGTGTGCCAGGCGAAACTTCCACGAAGGTATTCTGTTCGTTTTCGTTTCACTCGTTATATCATGTAGCTGCGACGCCACGATGAATATCCTCGGTAATTAACGCATAAAATCTATCTCGATTATC